AGACTTTCAATATTGAGCATGAGCATGATTGACTGCCCACGGTTGCTAATCTGTTATTGCCACATCAGCTGTAATTACACACAGAACCAATAGACGATGCTTGGGACTAGCAATCATCCTCAACGCGTAAAAACTGGTGATCTCAAACTAGGCAATACCAGCGCCGGCCGTGCCCAATCGCAGGTCAAGAAAGGAATGGGTAGGAATGTGTTGACGTGACACTCGCTTTGATGGAAGCCGAGAAATCCTCTGCACTTTCACGAGGAATCACTGGGATGTTGGGTAAGAGGGTAGGGTTTGCATCAGGGTTTGTTTTGGTATAAGCTGAAATGTCCACACGATTGGGAGGGGTTACTGTATAAATAAAAAAAGGAATGATCTCATCCAAATAACCAACTAGAGCTGCACCAACAGCAACCGGCCTCCTCGTAGACTTTCTTCGACCCATCGCAGGTAACTCCTTCCTCCTTACGTGATAATTATAATTAACCACTTCATTCGAGCAGTTAAACTGACGTTTACTACCACTCGAACTTTGAAATAAAACATTATTTTGAGATTTTTTCTTCTAGAACCACGAGAAAAGTAGCCAACATTTGTGCGTTTCATAAAAAAATAGAAATTAGTTGATCCAGTTTTGCGAAATCGCTGGTAGAAAGTCACGCCAAAATTGCTTGACAAAGTTTTTTTTTTTGTATATCTTTATTAAGGAGACTTTCAGCCGTTGGCTGGCTCGTCTCCGGCTTGACAAAGTGGTCAATTGTAGACTGTACTAGCTTTATTTCCATACAACTTTCAAACACAGACGTCAAAATTCCGGATCCATCTGGTCGAGTAGGGAACATTCTTCTTCTTTCCAGATTCGAATCAATTCTTAAAGTCATTGCATTGTACTCGCAAATTTTCTTAACACTCACCTGCTATCGGAATCCAACTTCCCTTCGGACCCGTGTCGCGTTTTGTCAATCCGGTCGGTCGGAACATTCTTTTTCCTCCTCCAAGGGCACATCTCCGATTGCCAGCACAAACGGACAGGCCACATGGAATTCATTTTCCGCTTCCGTCCGACCAGTCCAGCTTTTACAAACGTCACTCCAGTCGAATTCAATGGTTCCTTATATGCATCGTGGTGGTTGTGGCAAAGTCAGCGAAACACCTCCTCAAACCGCATCCACTTCCGAGGAATCATCTAGTTTCGTTGCACCGTGCCAGGGCTGTCTTGCATCAACGTAGAGAGTGCAAAGTCAGTGATGAAAAATATTGTATTACTATCTTCGTCGCACTCACGAACCAATCCATAACTTTTGCATGCGGGTTCAGTCATGTGCTTTGGTGAAATTTTTTATTGTGTTTGCTATGGTCATTCATGTCGGTTTGTCGGTGGTGTGGTGTGGTTACTAGTCTGCTCACATGCACGTTCGACGGTATTTGCTTTTTTTTTGTCCATGTATGATACAAAAAAAGAGAAGTGAAGGTAAAAGATGCAATAGGATTTGTTCAAAGGGATTCCTACTGTCGGCTTCTCTTCGTCAATGACGAAGGATGTATGGAAATGATGGTTTTTGTACCGTAACAATTTATTTTTGGTTTTCGTCAAACGTCACTGACCAAACTGACCTTTACCAACGCTGCACCGTGCACTACCCGGAAGAAGCCAAAGATCGCGAAACCATGTTTACCGGTTCGAATCAGCAATTCACACACAAGAAAAATACAAATGAAAATCCATCCGCACCATCGCCAATTTCACTTTCGCTCCAGAAGACGGTACTTTTAATATCCACTCAAAAAATTTATCACATATCTAATGGATGAAAACCATGTGAATTTCACATAGCTTTCATGTGATCACATAGCTAAAAATCCCACCACAAAATCACATGAATATTATGAGGCCGATGAAAACCATATGAAAATTCAGATGAATTCCATTAATTTTGTTTATGGATGAAAATCATTTGTGTTTCCAATGGAAGCTACATGAAAACTATTTTCGGTGTCGATCAAAATGTTGGTTCATTTGTCAGCGAAGTAGGGGAGGAAAGGGTATAACAATCATACGGGTTGTAAAAATAACATTTTTCGCCTTTCGTATTATTTGAACGGGACCCAAGAGGGAAATAATATTGTAGTCTTACTGAAAATCGGTCAATACCGTTGATTTATCCCAGGAATATAACTCTTTCTGTAAAAATATATGGCCTTGAGAAGGACCGATTGTTCCGATCTCCACTACGTTGTTCGATGCAAAAATGAGCTTCAGTACGACATCGTTCTTAAGTTAAAGCTCATCCACAACTGCTCGATATCGGTCGCAGCGCCTGCGAGAATGTTCAGCACGACGGCTAAGAGCAAGGGTGTAGAGCTTTGGAATCAGAATGACATTATTGAAAACTCCATCCAAATGATAAACCTATTCGTAAGTGTCACGAAAAATGGAACCTGTCTGCGTGTCTTGACCCTCGGGATGTTGCATTCAAGGTGTCTTTCAGGTGATCTCTTTGAAATTGGTGTTCAAAAATTTCTGTAGGATAATACCAATACTGCTAATGAAACGATACTTACCAATCACGTCTGCCTTCCTCGTGGAAGTTATAAACCACGCATCATCTCCAAACTTTTCTAGCACAATCTTGGAACGCAGAATGTTTTTCGGAAAACCACAAGCTACGCAAACTAGATGGTAGGGCTTTTCAATGTTTGTTTCTATCAAAGTTGAAAAACTACTACGCAGAGATCTGCTCTACATATGTGCTTCCCAATTCATAGCTTCCGATTGTGGACTTCAATTTCAATATTAATTTTAGAAAAATCCCTTTTATAACCCTACATGCGTGATAAATTTGTCACCAATTTATTATCTTTCATTGTGTCCTTTAATTTATTTTTTTTTATTTTTGAGGCGAAACCGAGGGGTGCGACACATCTAAATCTCGATTTTAAATGGTCGAAAAATCTCACACTAGCGAATCAATCTACGAAAAATCTTTTTTCATCTCTTGCATCTAAACCCATCTACTCGCATCGCTCTCCACCTTTTTGCAGGAAATCTTCAAAATCATAATCAATCGTGTTTCTATCTATTAAGCGCGAGTACATCTCACAACAGCTAAGCAAAAAAAATCCTGGATCTTCGATAGAGTCGCCCCCCTCGGGCGAAACTGGTATTTTTTTTGGTTTTGGAACGCATTAAAATCTACCTGTTGATACAGTAAAAAGTTGATCCAAATGTCTTTTTTTTTCCAAAATATCATATTACCACAGACAATCAGACATAACAGTCATAAGTTGTTCATCGAGCAATCATTTAACGGTCAAAGTATCTCAGTTGGTAGTACCATAGAGGTAACTCTAAGACCAGAAGGTCCCGAAAAAACGAGTTCAACTTTTTGGCTCAGCTCTTCGTACTATCTTCGGTCCCAAGCTAATCGATTCACCCCTCGAAACATAGGAAAATCCACTAACCCCTCATTTATCTGTCAAACTTTCATAGCGAATCAAAACAAACATTGTGTAGTACTAGAATTTCGACTAGAATGGGGTACGTTAATCGTTTGCTTGGGACCAATATCTAGTCAAGCAGTGAGCCAATTTAAAATCGTTAGTTTCGTATTGATTGTTGGTAGTACTGTCACCTGTGGCGCGCATAGTAAATTCCCTTGCATTTGACGTTTACACACTACCGCCATCTGTTCAGCGTACTTATAAAAAAGGAACATTGCTAGACAAACTAAACTGATCTAGAAAAAACGAACTAAACCTTCGGCGAAGCAGCTGGCCAGTCAGGTCAAAGTCAAATAGTGCGGAGACCCTATTGAAGAGTATGTAAACCACCGATTGCGCTGAACATGCTATAATTATTTCACTATATGGGCAGGCGCAGCATTGAATTATTTCGTAGGGCTCTGGGTTGAATATTGATGTCAATTTACTCAAGGAGAACAGGGCGATCGGTGCGTTCTTGCAAAATATCTACAATTAGCAATGCCTTTGCTGTATCTCTTCGGACAGACAGGGGCTCCAGATGGATCAGTTGCAAACGACTTTCGTAGCTAGGCAATCGGAAGGGATCCGTCCACGGCAGTTTACGTATCGCATATCTCAGGAACCGTCGCTGAACAGACTCAACTCTTTCGACACCGTTGTTGTAGTGAGGAGTCCAGGCAACCGAGCAGTATTTTAATATGGAGCGAGACAAGGAACAGTACAACGATTTAAGGCAGTAGACATCCGTGAAGTATTTGGCCAACCCTAGAATTCTGGAAACTTTGTTACAGAATTTGGACGGATTAACCTCCATATGATTCAGAATACTCCAATCACCAAAAGCATTCAACTGACGTTGAAGGAAGCAACAGTCTTCAATTGAGTGAATTCAAAGGAAGAGTTTAAGGTCATCTGCGTAATGTCGTTTTCGTTTTTGCGGTGTAGCACCGGTGTAGTGTGATGTGAATAGGCGCGAGTCTTTGACAGCTCAACATCATTTGTTTGTAAACAAAGGTGCATCCTATACCTACACCCAAAATTATTTCGGTGTACGGCAGTGTAGCACCGGTGTAGCTACACCGCAAAATCGAAAACGACATAAGTTAATCGTGGTCCCTCAATTACTAGATTCATATCGTTGAAGTAAATCAGGAAAATCAGCGGTCCCAGGTGACTACCCTGGGGTATGCCGGACGTGGCAGCGAACATACGGGACTGGGGATCACCAATGACAACAGTAAGATAGCGATCGGTGAGGTACGACTGAAACCAGAGCAAAACTAAGTGACTGAAATCATTTGTGGACTAAGTGCCCGGATTTCGATTCAAAGCGGGTTTTCCATACAAAAAAGATAATGGAAAATTCGTTTGGATTGAAATTGGGAATACGGAATGTTATCCATACAGAAAGTCATAGAGATGAAGGATATAATGTTTAGAATAATAATTCTGTATTTTATTTTCATATTTTTATATAACATGATAAATGTAGATTTCGCTATTGTAAAGTGTGATATTTCTATTCCTGGCAGTGCTTTTCCATTTGAACCAAAAGATATCCGTCTAGCAGGGGTAAATTATTGGTGGCCAACCCCCTTTTATCCACGGTTGTATCTTTGATGGTTAGTCAAATTTTAAGCTGCATTTGGTGAATTTCCCAATCAATTCGACCATACATTCGTAATGCATAAAAATCGATCTGATACTGATGAGCCGTATGATACCCTATGTGCCGGAAATGTTATCTTAATTTTACAGTACGGAATATGGAAAATTAAATGTCTTTACAAATATATCATCAGCACGAAGTCGTGCACAGAAGGAGAGTTTTATGAATTCTAGATAAACATTTCAAAAGGGCCTACCTGCATTGATCGATTCTCTTTATCGACTTTCTCTTTTGTCAATAACTCAGGTGCAAAAAGTGTCCCTGTGGTATTTAACGTTTTGGACGCTAGATAAGAACCTCCTTTATCAAACTATGTGGTAGAATTAGCGCGAAATCTGTTTGCATAGCACTGGTTATTAAAAGAGAAAGTCAATCAAAGCACATAGGACCATTTGAAATGTTTTTTAACGAGAATTTTAGTTTGTTTTTATGGCTGTTATTTGTCTTCTAATCAGTAGCGTATTGTATGTTTTTACATGAGGAAATCTTCCTTTTTTTCCCTTTAAAACATCTACATGATTTTTTTTTGTGACCGACCTCTCTTCTTCTTCTGTGCATGACCTTGCATTAAAACCTAGATCACGTTATCATTTATGTTATAAACCGAATGGAAGTTATAAGATGCTTTATACTGATGAGAACAGGGCTTGATATATGGGCTTCTTCTCGATCCATTTGCAGCCTGCTGCTCTATCCATTTCAATCAATAAATAACTATTAGATTGAAGCTGAAAGACTTTGGTTCCACTATCAAAAATGTTTTACGGAATTATGAAATCATTACATGTTATAATGATATGTTGTACTTGTAACTTACAAGTAGAGGTTGTACAGTGTGTGTTTGACACATGATAAGTGAGCGTTCAGTCAGAGTGCACTTACGCGATTACCTTAATCAATCCCTACGTATCTTAAATAACTTCCATTCGACTTATAACAGCATGATTATTGAGATTACAATTTTTATAATTCTAAACGAGATTTCACAGAAAAACAGTGTGGCAGTGCGCTATAAGCGCGGTGAGCATATTGATCTCTTGAGATAAGTCCGTTAAATGTTGCGGCGTTGCAATCAACGTAGGTGCGAATACTGTAGCAATATTTGATTCATTCATTTTATTTATGGCGTGGTGAGACGCAATTCGATTGAGGTGTTCCAAAATGTATTTCAAGCAGTTAAAATGAGCCAATGGTAGAAGTTTGATGGCGTCTCGTAGTGAACGCACTTGCTCTCCGATTGACTTGTTCACTGAAAATAAATAGTAGTCATTAACATGTTCTAAAAAAATTGAATATGGCATAGGTTTTTACCCATAGATTGCATAAAAGCAGGATACGAATGGAATGTGATCAAAGGAACCGGAAGCAGCCGTAGATAAAGCTTTAGTACACCGGAAATAACGTTTATATTACTATAAGCCAACACTGACATATCTGCCTTTTCGCCATCTTTATCGAGGGCCATTTTCAGAGCGTCAATTTCATCGGCAAATCCAGAAATTCGATAAATGCCTTCCTGGAGCATACCGTGTCGTTCGACTTCCTCAACGCACTTTTTTACAATGAAGGGAATTTTGCACTTATGTGCTGTAACGAGCGTTGTTAAATCTACACCGAAGATTCCTCGAAGCCGCTTCAAGTCTGGAACACATTTGGCAGGCACGAGTTCAGAACACTTGATGTGTGCCACAAATCCACAATCTGGAAGGAAAGAATATATTAGACATGGATGCATTACAAAAAAATATCACACTTTAATGTCATTCAACAATATCAATTAGGTTGCAAATGCTCATTTCGAAAAAAAGACATGTTTTTTGGAATAGTATTGAAATCATAGATGTTAAGTTCACATGCTTTACTTGTAAGTTAGTGAGTTACAAAAAGAGGATGTCAAGAACAAATTTTCATTATGCACCGATCCGAGAAAAATAAAGTTTTGTTTTAATGACCGAAAAGTTAATTCTATTTCAAATTAAACGCATATAATCTCATAGTGATAGCAATCTTTAACATATTAAGCATGGTTTTAATCATACAAAGTAGCTTTCAAGCTCAAAAATATTGGTTTTTGAGTCAAAAGTTATTATAAGTCGGCCCCTAATGTTACTTAAGCCAACTCGGATATTCGGGAGAATTATCAATCACGTCCAGCCCATTCATCATTTCAGTGTCAACATTTCAAAGGGGCGTAATTGCTTTTGTAAGCAATGGCTTCAGACGTCGATTTCTCGCCAATAAACGCTCACCCCTCCAAGTTAACAATGCTGGATAGTAGAGGAAACATTCTTCTACTTGTTGATGTCTATAATTTTTATGAGTGAGTTTTTATTCGCGAGAAATCGATGGCTAAAGCCATTGTTTACAAATGCAATTACGCTCCTTTGAAATGTTGGCACTAATTTTAAGACCACCAAAATCATCTTACAACTAACAGTTCGATTCATTCACTTTAATATTGAGAAAGCGAAATGACGAACGTACACTTTTCACAGGTTTCTCTGTGCTGTTACTTAAGACAAACGACATCTCCAAAGAAATCGGGTGACTTAAATAACATCGAAAAATATTTTGATCGGAAGGTGATAATGTCAAAAAGCAATTTGAATGGTAAATAAATTTAAAAATGGGATGTGATCCCATATTCGGTCAGTATATAGTGTAATAACAGGAGCTTCGATTGGCACTGATAGTTCGAATTTGTTTACCTTTGTTACTTTCGACGCAACGAAAATTTGCTCTTGATGTAAAGTACTTGTTCGGCACATACAATCTGTCAATATTGCTTTCTAAGGATGTGGTCAGATTATTTTTTTCATTATCGGTAGCTTCTCAAACTTGTATCGGTAGTTATCGGTAGGTCGTCTTAAACGCTGTCCAGACTGGAGAGTTATAACATGTTATAACGGTTGTCAAATAATTGCAACACAGAAACCACCATCAAGATAGCGCTATAACATGTTATAACTCTGTAGTCTGAACGTACTATTAAACGCTGTCCAGACTGGAGAGTTATAACATGTTATAACGGTTGTCAAATAATTGCAACACAGAAACCACCATCAAGATAGCGCTATAACATGTTATAACTCTGTAGTCTGAACGTACTATTAAACGCTGTCCAGACTGGAGAGTTATAACATGTTATAACGGTTGTCAAATAATTGCAACACAGAAACCACCATCAAGATAGCGCTATAACATGTTATAACTCTGTAGTCTGAACGTACTATTATAGTACGTTCAGACTACAGAGTTATAACATGTTATAGAGCTATCTTGATGGTGGTTTCTGTGTTGCAATTATTTGACAACCGTTATAACATGTTATAACGGTTGTCAACTAATTGCAACACAGAAACCACCATCAAGATAGCGCTATAACATGTTATAGCTCTGTAGTCTGAACGTACTATCACAGACAAACAGACATAACACTCGCAAGTTGTTCATCGAACAAGTATTTAACGGTCAATTTAAAAGTATCATAGTTGGTAGTATCGCCACCTGTGGCGCGCATAGTCAATTCCCTTGCGTTTGACGTTTACACACTACCGCCATCTGTTCAGCGTACTACCCACCACAGTGTTCTCAACAGATGGCGGTAATGTTTTTGCGACAATGTTTTACAGTGAGAAATATTCAATGTGTTATGTCTGTTTGTCTGTGGTACTATTAAGAAGGCTTTCCGGATACTTTAAAGTATTGTGAGCGGGGGGACTCTGCTCCAGAACAATACACTGTCGTTCAGTTCTTCTGATTTAAACGTATCGAAATCAATATTTCTAATTCTAATGAAAATATTAAAAACATTTTTCAAGATTACTAAAAATCTGTGATTCTCGGTAGGAAAAGTGAAAAATCGGTAGTTTTTAACCTTTCGTCTGTGAATCGTGAAGGCATCCTCAAAAACCGGTAGGACTACCGATAAATCGGTAGGTCAGGCCACCCTGCGCTGTGTTCGATTTGGAGAATTTTCACTTGCTTATACCAACAATCAATACGAAACTAACGATTTTAAATTGGCTCACTACTTGATTAGCCTATTGGACCCAAGCAAACGATTAACGTACCCTATTCTAGTCAAAATTCTAGTACAATGTTTTTTTTTCTTTCTTTTATTTAACGTCCGTCTCTGTTCCGCAATCTAGTGCCAATCACCGACGGACATCGATTGCCATCCATTGACGGCAATCGAATGTGCAGGAAGGCAGCTTCCACACCTGCGTAGGATATCACACCCATTCAACACACATGGGCCGGGACCAACGGCTTTACTTCCCTTCCGAAGGAAGACGTGACCAGAGATTTTTATGCCTCTGAAAAATCCCACCGACCTCGGCTGGGATTGAACCCAGACCCATCGAGGTGTTAGAAAGCAGTCACGCTTACCACTACACCACCGGCGCCGGCTCTGCACAATGTTTGTTTTGATTCGCTATGTCATTTTGTCATTTTTTTATGCATTTCAGTTTAGAGTAGAGTGAAGAACCAAAACATTCTAGTACATTTGGTGAAAATGCTAGTTCAATCTAATAGTAGTGTTGCCATGTGGTACAATCCAGTAGTAGTGGTGTTGCCATGTGGTACACTGAAAAATTGCAATAGCAGGTGCGTCACCAAAGTTTTCGAGCCGCTCCGTCTGTCACTTCGTTTGTGGTTATAACATACACGAAACGAAAATCAATTATTTTATCCATGTGTTTCACTTATACATTTTTGCCAAAACATAAGCCTTATACATTCCATAAGACAAACCATATAGTAATAAGAGTGCATACAAGTAACCAACCATCCCTCGCCTTACCTTTCTTTATTACATACTTTGATCTTGAACGCCATGCATTTTTGGCGCACCTTTGTATTCAAATACAGATAAATAAATCTCATTCGCTATTAGTACTCTGAACGATAAACTTGTGTTTTCTTTGTTCTCTCTGGCAATCGGTAGTTCCTCGTTCCGCGTATTATAACCTATTGCGCCGCTCTTTAGGTTATGGGCCCAGATCATGGAAGATAAAAATAAGATTGTCGCGTTCGATGGTGAGGGATTCCATAACTGGAAGTTCCGCCTCGAGACCGTGCTGGACATGCACGATTTGTTGGACTGTCTGCAGCGGGAAGTGAACGATATCGAAGAGCTCCGCGATGTGGAAAGTGAATCGGCAGCAGCGCGTGTGGAACGGAATAAACAAATTGTACAGAGAAGAAAACAAGAGAAAAAGTGTAAATCGATTATTGTGCAAGCGATCGCGGATAGCCAGCTCGAGCTAATTAAGGAGTGCCAAACCCCGAAGCAGATTTGGGAAACATTGAAAAACGTTTTCGAGCGAAGAGGTGTTGCCGGTCAGCTGTACGTCAGGAAGCAGCTCCTCACATTGTGTTATGTGGAGGGGGCTGGAAAGACGATGGCGGAACACCTGGTGAATTTCGGTAAGTTGATTCGTGAACTCAAGGGAAGTGGTGCAAATGTCGAGGAGTCGGATGCGGTGTGTCATTTATTATTGACACTACCCCCGTCGTTCGATCCGGTTGTGACGGCGATCGAAACCCTTCCGGGCGGAGTCACGATGGACTTTGTCAAGAAAAGGCTTCTGGATGTGGACATGAAAAAGCGTAATCTCGAATCGCGTGATGAAACGAGTGGCGGCCATGATGGCGTTGCTATGGCTACGAGCCGATTTGCGAAGAAGAAGATCAAGTGCTTTTTGTGTGGAAAGCTTGGCCACAAGAAAGCCGACTGCCGAATGGTGAAATCGGGTTATCAGAGTAGTACGAAGCCGAAAAACGAAGTGAGCAAACAAAAGGCTCATGTTGGTGTTAGTGAAGAGCAGCCGGAGATTGCATTTTTCACGGCGGAAAGTCGTGAATTTGTAAAAGTAGGGTGGTTCATCGACTCTGGTGCCACCGACCACATGCTAAAGGACGCTGACTGTTTTTCGTCATTGCGGCATCTGGATTCACCAGTGGAAATAGTGGTTGCGAACGGGCAGAAGCTTCGTGCTGAATACTGTGGTGACGTCACGCTTTATACGGTCGTCGGTGGTGTAACGAAAAAGTGTACGGCGAAAAAAGTGCTTTTCTTACCGGGTCTCAGCTGCAATCTTTTTTCGGTAAAACGAGTTGCGAAGGCTGGACTGAAAGTTTGTTTTGACGGCGAGAAAGCAGAAATCGTGAAGGATGGTGTTGTTACCGCCGTTGGCTGGCTAAAAGGGAAGTTATACGAACTGGACATCTATTGCAAACCTAGTGAGATGGGAGCTGCTATGGTATCAGGAAAGGTATCACGTAGTGCGTTGTTATGGCATCAGCGTTACGGTCATGTGGGTTGCGATAGTCTCTGCGAACTGGTGAAAAACGAGATGGTAAACGGTCTGCAATTGAAGAAATTAGACGATGATGTGGTGATTTGTGAGCCGTGCTTGTCGGGTAAGATCGTTCAGTTGCCGTTCACTCCGAGTGAGGACAGGCGGTCGTCGCGGGTACTGGAATTAATCCATAGTGACGTATGTGGTCCAATGAAGCCGGTGACATGGGACGGAAAAAGATTCGTGGTTTCGTTTATTGACGATTATTCGCATTTCACGGTTGTGTTTTTGCTGGAGACGAAAGACCAAGTGTTCGAACGTTTCCGGGAATACGAGGCCTTAGTAACTGCTCGGTTCGGCTCTAGAATTGCGAGGCTCCGTAGCGACAACGGGGGTGAATATGCGAACGAAGAAATGCGCGAGTTTTGCCGGAAGAAAGGAATTGCCATGGAGTTCACGCCGCAACAAAACGGCGTATCAGAGCGGATGAACCGCACGTTGATGGAGCGTGCCCGTGCTTTACTGGCGGAGAGCGGATTCGAGAAGGAAATATGGGGTGAGGCTGTGTACACGGCCACGTACCTCACGAATCGGTGCCCCACATCGGCGGTGGATGAGAAGAAAACTCCCTATGAGTTGTGGAATGGAAGAAAGCCGGACGTGAAGAAACTCAGAGTGTTCGGTAGTGGCGCGTACCTTCACATTCCGAAGGAGTTAAGATCGACATTGGACGCAAAGTGCAAAAAGTTGTATCATGTCGGATACACGGTAAATGGATACCGTCTTTGGGACTGTGAAAAACGAAAAATTGTTAGTGGAAGAGACGTTGTGTTCGATGAAAACTTGTTGTTCGGAAAACAATCCCAAGTGGAAGTGAGTGTTCCAAAGACGGTAGACCTAGGTGTTGACGAACTGAATGAACAATCAGTGGTTCCGGAAGAAGAAGAAAAAGTAAACAGTGATAACAGCAGTTGCCATGAATCGGATTCTCACGACGATGCGCAGGTTGATGAGCAGCACATCTCAGCTAGGCGAAGCGGGCGTGCACGACGAGAACCGGCGTGGTTCGATTGCTACGAAATGACGTGCGGTTTGGCTATGTGTGCTGAAAATTTTGTGGAAGATCTGCCGACCACGGTGGAAGGTCTGAAGCAGCGTAGTGACTGGCCGAAATGGAAGTCTGCCGTCGCTGAGGAAATGGAGTCGTTGGTAAGGAACAACACCTGGACGTTGACGTCACTGCCAAAAGGTAGGAACTTGATTGATTGTAAATGGGTTTTTAAAATAAAAAGGAGTGGGTCTGGAGAGATCGACCGCTACAAGGCCCGTTTGGTAGCAAGGGGATTCTCGCAACGGAAAGGGCTTGATTATGAGGATACCTACTCTCCTGTTGCTAAGCTCACTACATTGCGGACACTCTTGGCTATCGTGAACCACAGCGGAATGCATCTTCACCAGCTCGATGTGAAGACGGCGTTTTTAAATGGAACAATCCAGGAGGACATCTACATGCGCCTGCCCGATGAGTTTGGTGCTGGTTCGCTTGTGGCCAAGTTGCAAAAATCATTATATGGCTTTAAGCAAGCATCAAGAGCATGGAATGCTCGATTCCATGATTTCGTTACTGGCTTGGGATTTAAGCGCAGTGGAGTAGATAACTGCTTGTACGTTGCTACGATACAGAACGAGATCGTCATTCTTGTAATTTACGTGGATGATATGCTTATTGCATGCCATTCTCTAGATGTTCTGGTCAAAATAAAAAGGACATTTTGCAACGAGTTCGAAATGACGGATCTAAAGGAAGTCAGCACGTTTTTGGGATTAACGATTGAACGCAACAAGAAGGACGGTGTACTGAAAATCGGTCAAAGGTTGTACCTGAAAAATCTTTTGAGCCGTTTCGGTATGAGCGAGTGTAAACCTGTCAAAACACCGTTGGCTACTGGTTTGAAGCTGGAGAAATGTACCGATACGACGAAGTTCACTCAACACCCTTATAGAGAACTTGTAGGTTGCTTGATGTGCGTTACAGTCACTTCGAGACCCGATTTATGTCTGGCGGTGAATTATTTCAGCGGTTTCCAGAGCTGCGCTACCGATGAACACTACTGTCATCTCAAACGTGTTCTACGGTATATTCAGGGAACTCTAGATATGATTTTTTTTTTTTTTTTTTTATATATATCTTTATTAAGGAGACTTTTAGCCGTTGGCTGGCTTGTCTCCGATGTCTAGATATGAAGCTGATATATCGTAAATGCAAGGATGCAAAGCTACTAGAGGGATTCGCCGATGCTGATTGGGCGGGAGATATAGTCGACCGTAAGTCTTTGTCAGGATACGTATTCAAGATACGAGGGGCTACCGTATCGTGGTCCACAAGGAAGCCGAATACGCTGCTCTCACCATGGCGGTTACCGAAGCGATTTGGCTACGAGATTTGCTGCGAGATCTGGAAGAACGTGTTGCTGATCCAACGATAATATACGAAGATAACCAGGCGTGCATTCGTGTCGCGGAAAGTGATAGGCTGACCAGGCGATTGAAACACGTAGATGTGCGTTTTCATTTTGTGAAGAACGAAATAGATGCTGGAACTGTTCGTCTATTGTATGTGCCATCGGAGGATCAAGTAGCCTAGGATCCAGTTTGAAAAACTTAGATATTTGCTCGGGTTATTGGATTAACGGGGGGTAATAAGAGTGCATACAAGTAACCAACCATCCCTCCGCCTTACCTTTCTTTATTACATACTTTGATCTTAAACGCCATGCATTTTTGGCGCACCTTTGTATTGGCAAATCAAAGTTGGCACTCGTGGAGAATAGATGAACTATGAAAGTGATGATGGTTTCAAAATTTTACACGGTGAGGTATACGAGTTCAATCTTTAAATGCCTTTATTTTGCAAATGGAGCATTTTATTTAAATCTGGTTAATGCTACGTTAGTAGAAAACTTAAGGACTACTCAATAGATATATAATATAGAAAAAAATATTTTCTTTTCAGATTTTTAGGTGTATGCATAGATTTCAGCTTTTCTACAACTGTAGCAACAACCAGATTTAAATACAATTCTCCATTTTCAAAATAAAAGCATTTTAAGATTGCACTCGTATAGCTCTCCGTGGAAAATTTTTAAAACCATCATTACTTTCATAGTTCGTCTATTCTCCACGAGTGCCAACTTTGATTTGCCAATTCAAATACAGATAAATAAATCTCATTCGTTCCGCGTATTATAACCTATTGCGCCGCTCTTTATATAGGTCCTATAAGAATGCATAAAAGGTATGTGTGACCGCTTATACATTTCATTTGACGCATGATCTTCATTAACTTTTTGCCGAGCTTTTTGCAAGGCGTCTGCTTATTAGTTGACTTATACATTTTATGAATAATCAGCAATAGAAATTTGCCAAAAGGTATAAGGACATTTCTATCCGTACTAACTGCTTATAAGCGATTGTTTCAGCCTCTGGCGATGAATAGGGGAACCCACAAAAGAGTAATGAGGGTGGAAATTTTTACCTTGAAGCATAGGAAGAGGAAAATATTGTCACCTTTCCAGATTAATTTATTCACCGCAGGTGCTTGAAATCATCATCCACGTGGAATATTTTGTTTTCTGTATCAGGTTTGCAGTGATTCGGCTGGTGCTTCCATATATTTTTGATGAGAAAAATTAAGATTTATAAAACTGTCCCAGCGGTTTGATCTTCCGGATTTTTAATATGTGGTTATTTCAGCTGTAAATCGGTTCAGATCTGTAGATAACCGAAAAATAAGACCACTCCCGATGGAAATTTGCAAGTTTTGCAATAAAATGTAGATTATTTTGAGTTTGGAAAATCATCATTATGATGTAAACAAATGGATTGTATGACATTTCCTCTCAAAATCGGCTAGCGCACTCTACATTGATGGTGCATAAAAAGAGCCTATTGGCACAAACGAAGTGACAGACGGAGCGGCTCGAAAACTTTGGTTACGCACCGCTATTGCAATTTTTCAGTGTACCACATGGCAACACCACTACAACTGGATTGTACCACATGGCAACACTACTAATGGATTGTACCACATGGCAACACTAAAATGTACTAGAATGTTTTGGTTCTATCTCTTTCACTTTACTCTAAACTGAAATGCATAAAAAAATGACAAAATGATACACTCTTTGCACACTGTCAAAGATCATATTGCACACAAAATCAACTATGTTCAAATCAAAGCAAAAATACTAGCCCATCTGGTGGTTGATGGCACAAGCTTCTAAGAAAATTCTATTACAGCGAACCACATTATTTTAATTGATTTCTTCGCCAGTTAGTCGTCTGTCACTTCGTTTCAGTAAGGTAGTATCACAAACGAAGTGACAGACGGAGCGGCTCGAAAACTTTGGTGACTAACCTGCTATTGCAATTTTTCAGTGTACCACATGGCAACACCACTACTACTGGATTGTACCACATGGCAACACTACTATTAGATTGAACTAGCATTTTCACCAAATGTACTAGAATGTTTTGGTTCTATCTCATTCACTCTACTCAAAACTGAAATGCATAAAAAAATTAAAAAGTGATACGCACTCTTTGCACACTGTCAAAGAATCATTGTACACAAAATCAACTTTGTTCAAATCAAAACAAAAAAACTAACCCATCTGGTGGATGATGGCACAAGCTTCCAAGAAAATTCTATTACAGTGAACCACATTATTTTAATGGATTTCTTCGCCAGTTAGTCGTCTGTAACTTCGTTTGTGGTAGTATGGTCCCGAGACCATGAAAATCGATTATAATCATAATCTCCGATTAAAGTTACGATTTAAAAACAAATAAAAATTAGGAAAATTGCTGATTTTTCGTACTACATTAACACGGAAGGGACCACCCTAATGGCAAAATAAAAAAAATGCTGGTTTAATATTTTTCGATAATGAACAAAATTTAACACCCATCGACATTGTTTACCCCCTATCGATAATAAGTTAAGGTATTATGTATTATCATTTATCCGATGTAAGTAATTTGAATAAATATGGTTAATCATAAAATCATTTTTACCAGAACTCACCTTCACACTTAACACCCTGTGATGTAAATCCCCATAGGAAGTTTGCACAAAACTCGCACCAATTGAGTCCTTTGAATGTGTGGGTTTTGAACAGATGATTTTTTTCGTAAATTTCCGGCAAAACGTCATCATTTGGCTCATCGACGACTATATTTTCTGCTAAATTATCCGCTTCTATTCCCAAACCATTAGCCACCGTCGTTTCGTCATTCAGCATTGATAGTTTGGAAGACTTTCTTAGTTCGTTCGACAGTGCCCTGAGCTTTCGACGGTTCAGTGTCATATACGGACTTTGTTCGTAGCAATTTTTCGTTTGACACATCATTTGCTGTATAATTGGTCCAGCGTGTAAACGCATATAAAAATCTACCAAACCATCCGCCACCAGGTCATGAACAGTGTCAAACTTTTTAAAATTCTCGCTAAGATAATGCCCTTTTTCCGATGCATAGTAGATTTTGAAGTGCTTGGTCCTGTTGCCAAAACGAAGGCTCAAAGTCCAGTAATCTTCAGCTCCAGGGCTTCGTCGAATCAGATACGATCCATCTGGTTTATCAAACAAAAGGTTTTCGCAGTCTTTATGATTCATGGTCCCATGATACTCGGAGTTGTAGAAGGCCGGGCGGTTTTCGCTTGAATTTTCACAACTTACTGCCTTGGGTGTTGGTGCTTCTAGTTGAATTTTATACACTGTTAGGAAAAAAATACGGAATCTTGAATTAGTCCCTCAAAAGTGTGTGTATAGGACCCAATAATCTAGGTTATTTGTATTTTGTAAAACATCTTTATTTTTTATTATATTTTTCATTCTACTACATATTTTATATACATTATATATTACATGATTATATATAAATTCATAATGTAAATTATAATAAATACTGGGAGGGGAGGGAGCATCAGGGCATCATTGAAGTTGTAACTGGACAATGGAGTGGAGTGCCAACCGGAGTCTAGGAGGGAATGTGTACTGTAATTTTAGATAGTTACATTTCACTCCAACAGTTGCAATGAATTTGACGCGCTCTTCTTTAACAAACGATCCCGTGGAAAGCTTAACATGTATTGCGAATTTCGTTATTCATTTTGTTGGATCATATTGTTGGAAGGAGATTCTCTTATTCCCGCGGGTTTCGCGTAAGTGCCTCTGCTTACGGGCCCGTCCAACCCTTTTTGGCCCTTCATACAGCAGTATGTTGAATTCAGAATGATGACGGAATTTGATCTTGCTGTTGAGTGGAGCCGCATGCAGGGCAAGACCCAAGCTAGGATGGTGGCTACTTACATACATACATACATTACATATAATACAAATCGAGTAAATTTTCACTAGCTTAAAACGAAGTGATAGACAACTTTATAAAACAGCTATTAATAACAACTGTATAAGGTGATCACATTTTTTTCCACAGCTATTAAGTACCAACTGGAACTGTACGCTGTTATTTGAGCACGTCCAGTTGCAAATTGAGTTTCCTAAGCCTATACCTTTTTTATATATATTTTTGAAAGTAAAATGATACACTTTGCCCAGAGAATTAACGAAAAATTCCTCACCTAGACCGACAATCAAGCCTGTCGCCTCCGGCTAATTGAGGCCCCAGTAAAATGTACATAAGACAACGAATGATATTACTTACATTCTGGTTTCCACACCTTTTGACTTGGTGATGGAGGTTCCTTAGCCATCTTATTCGAAGCTTTCACAAGGCCCTTGCTTGCTATCTCACTTAATAGTAGTGCATGTTAGTTTTTATGAAGAATATTTAAATTCAATTATAAATCCTGAAATTAGAAAACTAATGCTAATAACTAATTATTCACAGCTTTGTTTCCAATCAATGTTTCGAACAACACAAAACAAACCAACATGTATCACCCGTATCACCATCGGCGCTGATGTCACTGTCAATGCAAATGAAAATAATGCAGTCTACACGCTTAATTTAAAGTAACATAGAAAAGAATTACAGTCGTATACCTCGCTATAATGTAATATATTTATATAATGCCTTGTTCAGACTACGGAGTTGTAACATGTTACAAGGGTGTTATAATAATTATTGATAAGAAAACTGTCATCATTCATGAAGTAATGAAATTGGGTTGTTAGCGGAATGCTAAATAAAACAGCAAAAGGGTTTATCTTCCATTTAATTCCACTTAATTAATTTTTGTATCCATGACAGATACGTATTTCGACTACAATGTGCAGTCTTCATCAGTGGGAATGACACTGATGAAGACTGCACATTGTAGTCGAAATACGTATCTGTCATGGATACAAAAATTAATTAAGTGGAATTAAATGGAAGATAAACCCTTTTGCTGTTTTATTGTCATCATTCAGTTTTGTCACATGTTATAACACCGTAGTGTGAACAGGTTAGGTTGGGTTTTCTTTATTAAGGAGGTTTTCAGCCTGGGGCTGGTTCGCCTCCGGGTAGTGTGAACATATGTACGAGCATATGTAGCATAATCCTATGTTGTGATTGGCGAGTAATTTTTTTTTTCCTTTGGTTTGTTTTCCGTCGATCTTGTTTTCCGTGCTGAGCACCAATACTACCGACGCCAGGAAGGCAGCTCCCACACCTGGACCCTACCTATCGACCCATCAACTCATGAACCGGGGACCAACGGCTTTACTTCCCTTCCGAAGGATCGTGATCAGAGATGTTATGTTAAGGCAGATTATTTTAAGGCGTGATCAGAGATGTTATGCCTCAGAACATCCCGGCGGCGCCGACTGGGATTGAACCCAGGCCTGCTGGGATGAGAGGTAATCACGCTTACCACTACACCACCGGCGCCGCTAATTGGCGAGTAATGTTATAATAATTTTACAGAAAAACACATCGCGGTACCCGCATAAACGCGAACCATCACATGACCTTACCGATAATGGTTATAAATTGTTTATAATCCTTGCTAAACTTCAACTGAAATGGTTATGGAACTTTACATGAACGTTTGTGTGATAAAGTTTTAACCTTATGTATTATGGTTTTTTGGAAGCGGACCTTACAAATAATGGGTTGTTAAGAACCATTACCATTGCAAATTCTTGTTTTCTCCATACATTTTCAGAAAGAGAACTATATTAGAACGTTTTTACTTATGGTTTGAGAACATTAATGGCTATGGTTATGGTAGTCAGTAAGGTCCATTAATGGTTTTGTATTATCGCTCAACTTTACGTGAAATATATCGTGAATTGGTAATCAGTAATTTACAGGCAACCAATTCGCGATATATTCCACATAAAGTTGATCGATGTTACAAAACCATTCATGGGCCTTACTAGTTACCATAACCATTACCATTAATGTTCTCAAACCATAAGTTAAAAGGTTTTAGTATAGTTTTCTTTCCGAAAATGTATGAAGAAAACAAGAATTTTGAATGGTAATGGTTCTTAACAACCCATTATTTGTAAGGTCCACTTCCAAAAAATTATAATACTGAAGGTTAAAACTTTATCATTAAACGTTCATGTAAAGTTCCATAACCATTTCAGTTGAAGTTTAGCAGGGATTATAAAATTTTTTAACCATTTTAGGTAAGGTCAATTTATGGTTCGTGCTTATGCGGGATAGCCTTTATTCCTTGTTCAGACCTCGGTTCAGACTACAGAGTTGTAAAATGTTATAGCGCTATCTTGATGGTGGTCTCTGTGTTGCAATTATTTGACAACCGTTATAACTGTTGTGATATGCGCAGTACAGAGAAAGGAAAAATAACGTGTAGTACGGTTGACTAACTAACTCGGAATGAAACTTTATTTCTGCTTGTTGTGGTATACAGCAATGAGTGTATTTGTGTATGTGAAAGGAAGAGTGTCAAGAGAATATATATAGCACTGATATAAAAACGATCCTGTCTTTGTTGTGATTGAAATGACAAGAGTCTAACACTCCTCCTCAACGAAGACGGTATCGGTAATGGACCTGATGCCGATCGCGTTCCTGTGTCTCTCTAACTTGATCCGCTCCAAGGGCTTAGTCATCATGTCCGCTTCCATTTCGGATGTTGGAATGTACTTCAGATCGATGACTTCACGTTGCTGCAGATCCTTAGCGAATGCGTGTTTCGTATCGATATGTTTCGATCGCTTCCCAATGCGGTCTGACTCCACCAGCTTGATGCAAGACTGGTTGTCTTCCCACACAGAGATGGGCAGAAGCTGCTCCTCGTTGATGTCCTTTGAAAGCTTCAGATGCCACAGAAGTTCCTGGCATCCCTCCGCCAAGGCGATGAATTCCGCTTCTGTCGACGACATCGCAACGCAAGATTGCTTGCGCGTGCCCCAGTTCACCAATCCGCCGCCATACTTTATGAGAAAACCAGAGTTCGATTTTCTGTCTTCTTCGTTGCTGGCCCAGTCGGCATCAACGAAACATTCAAGGCCTCCACTTCCTCTGCCTAGGTGCAGCCGCAGATCCTTTGTGCCTTTGAGGTATCTTAAGACACGTTTAGCTTCGGTCCAATCACGGTTGGTTGGCTTGGTCACTTTGCGGCCCAGTAGCGATGTGCTGACGCAGATGTCCGGACGAGTATTGACCGCGATGTATAACAAACTACCAACCAAGCTACAGTAGGAAGTGTTGTTAGGTAACACCTCCTCCTCCTTTTGTTTCACATAAGCCGGGTCAAGGGGAATCTTGGAAGTCTTCGCACCCTCATGTCCGAACCTGGTAACGAGCTTCTCGATGTAGTTTTGTTGACTGAGCGTGTAGTGATCTCTGACTTTCTCCACGTGGATGCCGAGAAACTGCCGCAACTCACCGAGACTGGATAGCTTGAAGTGCATCTTTAGTAAACTGCAGATCTCCTGAAACTCACGCTCCGAATGGCAGAACACGACGATATCATCAACGTAGATTAAGATGAACATTGACTTTCCGTTCCGCACACGCACGTATAGGCAAGAGTCTGCATCGGCTGCTCGAAACTGCATCTGTTGAAGCACACTGTCTATTTTCTTATTCCAGACGCGCGCCGACTGTTTGAGGCCATATATGCTACGCCTGAGGCGGCACACCCGCCCGTTGTCCGCAGCAAATCCCGGTGGCTGCTTCATATATATGTCCTCTTTGAGCTCGGCATACAAGTACGCTGTTTTAATATCGAGATGCTTAACAAGCATACCTTCTCTGCTTGCAATCGTCAGCATCGTTCGTAGGGTTGACTGTCTGACAACGGGGGCAAACACCTCGTCGAAATCACAGCCGTATTGTTGAGAGAACCCTTGCGCAACGAGCCTCGCCTTATACCGCACAGTTTGGCCGGTTTCGTTTTCCTTTTTCTTGAAGGTCCACCTACATCCGATGGCCTTCTTACCTGGAGGCAGTTGGACTAGATCCCACGTTTGGTGCTCGTTGAGAGAAGCCATCTCTTCCTCCATCGCTGCTTGCCAGGCTGACTTGTCGGGGCTACTTATCGCTTCATTGTAACTTCTGGGATCGTCGATGCTGTGGGTCGTGGCACCCATCATGTCAGCGTACCTCACTGGTGGCTTTCCCTTAGTCGAACGCTCAGAACTTCTCGTTGGCTGTCCAACTTCTTCTCCCAGCATAGGATCATCATCGCTGAATCCATGGAAACTGTCGTCTGACTCTTCCATCAAATCTTCAACGGCATCTTCCATCGCATCTGCATCGGCATCCTCTTCAACGATCTGTGGATCCGGCGGATTCAGTTGATGAAACTCGAACTCGACCGTGTCGCTCTCCTCGTTGCTCGAAGTGTTTTCTGGGCCGCGGGCTACGGGTGTTCCATCTATGAATCTTGCATCACGACTTACAATGACTTTCTTCGTTGATCGATCTAGGAACCTGTAGGCCTTATGTTCCGCAGAATAGCCCACAAACGTTAGCTTTTGGGCTGTTTCGCTGAGCTTCTTGCGTTTTTGTTTCGGTATGTGAACCCACGCGGTACTGCCGAAGACTTGCAGATGACTCACGTTCGGTTTCACGTTGAACCACAGCTCGTACGGGGTTACACTCACAGATTTTGACGGGAGAATATTCTGGAGGTACTCCGCTGTACTCAAAGCCTCTGCCCAATAGCACTGCGGAAGGTCAGCCTCAAACAACAAACATCGAACCATCTCCACAAGATAGCGGTTGCGACGTTCAGCCACTCCATTCTGCTGTGGGCTATACCCCGCTGTAAACTGGGCACCAATCCCCTGTCGTTTGTAGAAATACCGCAGCCGCTTGCTAGAGTATTCCCCTTCTTGATCCGATCGCACAATTTTCGGACTGCGACCGAAGTGGTTCTTCACATAGGCGACGTACTCTTCCATCTTGTCGGCCACTTCCGACTTCTCCTTCAGCAGATACACCGTACAGTAACGAGAGAAATCATCAATTACCGTCATAAAGTATCGGTATCCGCTCACCGAAGGGACTTCCACCGGGCCGCACACATCGGTGTGAACGATATCTAAGGGGGCCACGGTTTGCGATTTGGAATCTTTAGGGAATGGAATACGTGTACTCTTACCTTTTAGGCAGCATTCACAAGGTTCATCGACGACACACTCGACTACCTCAAGTCCATTCACTAGGTTGCGCTTTTCCAAAATCCTGATGGCATTCGGCTCCCGATGGCCAAACCTCCTGTGCCAAACGTGTTTACAATTGGCGTTGTGTTGGCTCTTTGCTACCAAAACAACCTCGTCGGGCCGCTTCAGCTGGTACAATCCCTGCTTGAGACCGGCCACCGCTACTGTCACGTCATCTCGTTTGATTTGGCAACCACTGGTGCTGAAAACCACTGTCGCTTGCTTCTGTATGAGCGCTGACACCGAAAGCAAATTCATCGCCAGAGTGGGGATGTACAACGCCGAACTTAGCTGCATCTTCCTGCGTTCACCTTTTTCGTCACAGCACTCGATTTCCCCGCACCCTTCGCCTTCCACTTTAGCCACTTTTCCGTCCGCCAGTTTAACGTACTTCACATCACTAGGGCGCAATTCAACGAAAAAATCTCGGTCCGCGACGGTGTGGCTCGTAGCGCCAGAGTCAATAATCCAACATTTGTCCATATTGTCACTCCCGGTAACACAGGTCACGAACGCAAACGAAACACTATCTTCTTTTTTCTTGGTGCGCTGCGGCTGAGCATTGCTCCGCTTTTCCGCTTCCCGAATGAACTGCCGGCAAAACTTTTGTTTATGTCCCGGCTGCTTGCAGAAATGACAGATGATCTGCTTCTTCTTTCTGCTTTCCTCCTTAACCTTCAACACTGAGTCCGTCTCAGAGCCCTGACGCTTGGCAGCTTCAACCAAAAGTTTCCTTTTCACCAGCTCCAACGTAAGGTCGGCTTCTGCCCGGCTCTCGAGGGCAGTTGTCAATGCGTCGAACGAGCTCGGAAGACTTCGCAGGATCATTGCGACAGCGAGGTTTTCTGCCAACTCCTGCCCGGCGTTAGCCAGCCGTGAAAACAACTCCTCCATGGCAAACACATGCTCCTCCATACTTTCCCCCTCCGAGTAGCGTTTATCGCAAATGCGTTTCAGAAGGGAAACTTTGGAAGTTAGGCTGGTTTTCTCGTGGTGATTTTTCAATGCCAGCCAGGTTAGTCTTGCGGTTCTCACAGCACGAATCAGGCTATGCTGATTATCATCAATCAGGAGCCCGATGGTTGCTCTCGCCTTTGCGTCCCCTGCATCCCAAATGGCAGCTGCTTCGGCATCCGGCTTTACTCCTGGCTCAACATAGCGCCAAAGCTCCTCGCGGATGAGTAGCAGCTCCACTTTAAAACGCCAACTGGGGTAGTTTATGTTGTTTAATTTCTGGATGCTAAAACGGGATCCATCCATTTTGTTGCACTCCGACGAAGGCTGCCGCGACGAACAACAAAAACCGCGACGAAAAATTTAACAAATTCCGATCGAGAAAGAAAAAACCGAAAAAAATGGCGTCACTTTTGTATTTTCTCCGCGCGCAGGCCCATAACCTGTTGTGATATGCGCAGTACAGAGAAAGGAAAAATAACGTGTAGTACGGTTGACTAACTAACTCGGAATGAATCTTTATTTTTGCTTGTTGTGGTATACAGCAATGAGTGTATTTGTGTATGTGAAAGGAAGAGTGTCAAGAGAATATATATAGCACTGATATAAAAACGATCCTGTCTTTGTTGTGATTGAAATGACAAGAGTCTAACAATAACATGTTATAACTCTCCAGTCTGGACAGCGTTTTACACGGGTACATTTTTCCATTTTTTTTCTTTTGTGAAGTTAGAAAATTTCTGTAGCTACCATATTTTTCTTTGATTTTTTAACACCAGTTGCATCAAGCTTGGTTTTATTTGAAAATCGGAAAAAAAAATAAAAATTAGACTACGTTAAAAAAAAAAGGTTGAGTGGTTATATTTTCCACTCTACCTTACCTTTTAAACCATCATTGTGCGCGAACGCCTCTTCCACTGCTCGATATCGTCCGCAAATCCAACGAGAATGTGTAACCGTGTGGTAATGGTACCTACCGTTTCTCTACACACTTAATCTGTCGCTCATGTCAAGTCCGTCCCATAGCACAAATCAGCAAGCCGAGAAAAACGCGTTTTAAATTAGCTTCGTACTATTGCTTCTTATGTAATGGGACAACTCGTTTGGCCGTGTTCCAAACTTTGCCAGAACAAAGTTTGTTGACTTCATGCAGTATAACGAATCCAAGGGTTATTAGCTAACACCAACACTCCATTGAAAAACTCCGTTTTGACCAAAACGCCATGGGACCAACTTGCGATGAGCGGCAGTAATAACTTCGTTATATTTAGATATTAAATGTAGCATGAAGTAACCTACGATTGAGTTTTACACTAAGAAAGACTGTTGTGTGTGGATGTTCTTTCAAACAATAGAATGTAAAAAATAATAGTTTGGCACATACGTAAATATTTGATAATGTATCCTTGTGCAACATAGATACTATGTATTTACTACTATGCCTTCCAACACTAGACTATTTTTTATGTTTATGATCAATATCGTCTAGAATGAAGTCATCATCTTTGGTTAATGTTTCGGGTTCCTCATCCAAAGTCTGCCTGTAAGCCATTATTAGATCGTGCTCAGAAGATTTTCGTGCATTGATATGCTTTCTGAATTTCTGTCGTTCTAAACTTTTACTAAATGGCAGTTTTGCATCAACTAAACTGTTATCCATATCTTTAGAATCAGCACATTGCAGCTTGTCTATGGTGACTTTTTTGTCTTCGCTATATTGTGTCCATGCCTGTTTGGATTTACTGACCGATCGCTTGATTTTATTCATTATTAATCCGTGCTCCAGTCCTAACACATCATGGCGCATGTCCGGAAGTGGATCATGATCTTCCCGCGGATACTGGATTTCATTCTCCAGCTTGTCAATCTTTCTTCGAACTTCTGGAGGTAATTCCGTTTGCAATTTGATCTCACTTCTCGGCACTAACGTCGGATTGGTTGGTACGTAATCATCTCCATAATCAGCTTGACGCAGGGCACTATCTACGTCAGCGCTGAGACCATGAGTCTTATCTTTGACGAAAGTTAATTTTGGAACTTGCCCAATTAATCGGAGTTGTGACAATTCGTGGCGCAGACCACCAGCAACACGTTTCAAAAGGCGACCTATCTCCGGATCGTGCGCAGTATCTCTTGCAAACCAAAAGACATTAACGCCATGGAAGTCCGTGGTGACCCGTACACGAGATATTTGTATTCCATAACCAACTATTTTTTCGGAATATTCTCCAGTGGCCATCAAGTCTGTGATCTGTTCCATAAACAGTTTGTTAAGTACGGTTAACCTTCTGGTTGACTCCTTGCCTTGGCCCTTGGTTGAAGCTAATATCGTAGGCGATGAGAAAATTGTTGTTGTAGTCTTTTCACCGTACCATTTTCGTTTATTCTTATCCGAACCAAACATTAATTTGCTTAGCACTTTTCCTTGCTTTTTAAAGCCATTTAAATCACCATGGCTGCAGTGAAATGATCGAAATAATTGAATTTTTTTGAAACTGTTAGCTAACTTCAACATTTTGTTTGCGTTTCTAGACTTTTGGATCTATTTTTGTACAGCATTCGTAAACAATGATGAACTTTTTTTTTAGCTTTTTTTTAATGATGAACACACGGTAATACACGGTAACCAGCGTAAAGCCATTAATGAGTAAAATTTCACACTTTTCGTGAAAAAAGGGGCCTACTCATAAAATGTGTAAACTGCGTTAACACATTAATGTGTAAACTCCCTAATAAAAATTGTATGGTTAATTTGCTTAACGACGTGTTCTGGGTATCATCCAAACCATTTGTGGAATAGTTCAATGATTTGGGTTATCGTTCGTTTATGGTTATTTTTTATTAGGGCTGCGTTTCCACATTAATGTGTAATACCACAAACGAAGTGACAGACGACTAAGAGCAACCGTAACGGTACGCTGCTAAACTCATTTTAGCAGCCCTCATCATAGCGCAGCTACCGTATCGGGGGTTGCCATACGAGTAACTAAAATAGCAGTCGGCTTCTCGGTGAGAAGCGCGCTACCAAATTTAGCAGCGCGGGAGAAAGGTTGCTATTCGTAGAAATGTCAAAATGCTCACTACCGGTACGGACAAAGATGAGTAAATTGATAACCACGATAGCAGCGACCGGTGTGGAGAAGAGTGACTAAACCAAAATGAGAGCGCTGTGCGCTGTTAAAATAGTCGCGCAAATGACAACGACCGTTACGGTTGCTCTAACTGACGAAGAAATCCATTTAAATAATGTGGTTCACTGTAATAGAATTTTCTTGGAAGCTTGTGCCATCATCAGTCGTCTGTCACTTCGTTTGTGGTAGTAGTGTCATAGAGGTAACTCTAAGACCACTGGGTCCCGAATAAAATCATTATTATTTTTGGCTCACTCAGTACCAGAACAACGGTCCCAAGCAGTCCCAAGCTATTTCACTCACCCCTGCATGAATCCACACACCCCTGATGTTATCTGTCAAACTTTCATAGCGAATCAAAACAAACATAGTGTAGTAATAGAATTTCAACTAGAATAGGGTACGTTAATCGTTTGCTTGGGACCAATAGGCTACTAAAGTGGTGAGCCAATTTAAAATCGTTAGTTTCGTATTGATTGTTGGTAGTGTTGCCATGTTTTTTTTTTTTTTTTTTTTTTTTTCTTTATTTTAGAGATTTTTAGCCTGAGGCTAGTTCATCTCTTAGTGTTGCCATGTGGTACAATCCAGTAGTAGTGGTGTTGTCATGTGGTACACTGAAAAATTGTAATAGCAGGTTAGTCACCAAAGTTTTCGAGCCGCTCCGTCTGTCACTTCGTTTGTGGTAATACCAACAATCAATACGAAACTAACGATTTTAAATTGGCTCACCACTTTAGGCTGTGAACCATTTGCCGAGATAAATTTAACTCGTGGTTAAAAGTGACATTTCGAAAGTTATTTTCTATGTTCGAAAATCCCCGTGCTGTCGATCGACCGGTTTTCGAGCCACGGTTGTCAAAATTTAACTTCTTGTCTGTCAGAAATAACCATGCTCGGATAGCAGGGTTAATCGATAACTTTTCATCTGTCAAATTTTAACCAAAAATTAAAATAATCCACCAAATGATTCAGAGCCTTAGTAGCCTATTGGTCCCAAGCAAACGATTAACGTACCCTATTCTAGTTGAAATTCTATTACTACACTATGTTTGTTTTGATTCGCTATGAAAGTTTGACAGATAACATCAGGGGTGTGTGGATTCATGCAGGGGTGAGTGAAATAGCTTGGGACTGCTTGGGACCGTTGTTCTGGTACTGAGTGAGCCAAAAATAATAATGATTTTCTTCGGGACCCAGTGGTCTTAGAGTTACCTCTATGACACTACTATTAGATTGAACTAGCATTTTCACCAAATGTACTAGAATGTTTTGGTTCTATCTCATTCACTCTACTCAAAACTGAAATGCATAAAAAAATGACAAAATGATACGCACTCTTTGCACACTGTCAAAGAATCATTGTACACAAAATCAACTTTGTTCAAATCAAAACAAAAAAAACTAACCCATCTGGTGGATGATGGCACAAGCTTCCAAGAAAATTCTATTACAGTGAACCACATTATTTTAATGGATTTCTTCGCCAGTTAGTCGTCTGTAACTTCGTTTGTGATAGTAGTGTTGCCATGTGGTACAATCCAGTAGTAGTGGTGTTGGTGGTGGTGGTACACTGAAAAATTGCAATAGAAGGTTAGTCACCAAAGTTTTCGAGCCGCTCCGTCTGTCACTTCGTTTGTGGTAAAGGGCCACCCACATTAGATCCGTTTGCGTTGTGTTGACGTAAATTTGACAGCTAGACAATAGATTTAGATGTCACTTTGCCGCAACGCGTCCGATCCGGATTTTATGTGCATTCCCAATGAATCGGTTACAGAAATGAGACGATAAAATTTCAAAATGTTTTTTCAAAATATGCCCATTAGTCAACCGTGAACTGATAGTCAACTCCAACCAACCACCGGCCACCAGTGGCGCTGTTGTGGTAACGGTAATAAAAATGTAAAACAACTGTCAAACGTGAGTCATTCAGAATTTTCACTTTTTAAATTGGATATTTGCATTGTTTTATACGTTTTTGGTGATCAAAAAGTTTGTACAATTGTAGAAAAAGTAGCCTTCTTCAAAATGGCAAATGACTTCAATGATGTCACTGCTTGCAATCAGGAAAATAGTTTATTTTTATAAAACGTTAAGCTCCATGGTTAACATTTTCATTGCTGCTGCAAGATCGTTGCATTATCCCGGGATGCAACGAGAAAAAATTTCAACTTTTTCGGGTTCCGAAGTCGAGGAGCAACAAATTCGCGCAGTGGAGAAAGGTTGCCACTGTTTACAGGGACAGAGCGAACATGCTTCATCATTTGTTTGAAGCAGACTTTGTTGAACATAAGCTCAAAAGTTTGTTGTAGTGGGGAAATTTGAGATTAATTTCAAGTGGCCGCTCCCCGGGATGGGAACTTTGCAGCACAAACCGAGGGGGACGACTCTATCTACGATGCAAAAAAGATTGTGTTTTGCTGTGGCTAGCTGCGCGCACGCTGAGTAGATAGAAAGAAGATTGATGACGATTCTGAAGATTTCCTGCAAAAAATTGATGAGCGATGCAAGTAGATGCGACAAATGAAAGAAGATTGTTCGATGATTGATTCACTAGTGTGAGATTTGTTGACTATCTAAACTTGAGATTTAGATGTGTCGCCCCCCTCGGCACAAACCCATTCTACTGGTGTAGCCCAGGCACACAATATGCTGAGGCTCTAAAAACGCTAGTCCTTCCCGTATAGGTCGCACGGAGTCCCAACATAATCCAGTATATCCAGCAGACGTCGACGTCAATTTCGGGATGGGAATCTGCAGTCATACAAAACATAACCTAAATAATATCGGTGCATAAAAAACGCATTTTCATTCACTTTCAATCACAGTGCAATGAAAATTCACATAACATTGCATTGTTCGACAAATTTCCCACATTTATCATTCATAAAAATGATCGTATCTCACTATTTTGAACTTTCAATAATTTATCATTCAAACTCTGGAATTTAAACCGGCTGTCATAAATTTATCACCATCGACTAGTACTATTTCCCGCCACTAGTGACGCATAAATTTCCCTTGGATTCTACTATTCTTTATATGGGTATTTTTTCACCCATTTTATGATTTCAAGTTTTCAAGTTTTCAGTGTTCACTCGGCTGTCGACAAAAGCAGGCCACTCTCGATGTGTGCTACGCGATCGTCTGTTTACTCGGCAGCAACCATTGTGTGGTCCTCCTCATTGTTCTTCATCAGCAGTTCTTTCGGTCGATGCGTCGTCGACTTTGGAAAGCAACCGTTTCGTGATGAGTGTGTGAGTGCTGACCACGTTTTGCGTCCATTGCTGCAATGGACGCGCTCTGACCCTCGTTGGCGTACAACAATTTGCCATACAATGAAACTACTGGAAGCGGCTCCAGTTCTGATGGAGGAGGCTTTTTGGATAGCGGAAGATAAAGTGTTTATTGTGTTGTACCTTTTGACTATAGCTTTAAGATGTATTGTATAGTGACCATGAATCCTCGGCTCTGTTAAGTTAATTCGGTTGAGCCTTATCAAATAAACTAATATACAAAAAAAAAAAATGATTTCAAGTTTTTCCCATTTTTTGACAGACATGGTTTGAAAATGGGTATTTTTTACCCATTAATGGATTTTCACCAGGTCAGTGACAAGGCCTATACCTTAGATAATTAAAACATAGATTGCTCAGTCGGGCATCCCTGCTTTTACTTGAAAAGTAACATTGATAGCGCGCTATCTGTCGGCCAACGGGTGAGGTACAAGTTTAGCAGCCGAAATGGGTGCGCATTTTGAATCAAAACTGCCCTGCGTACATTAATATTTTGGATGGCGCATTCCACGTCTGACGTTGAAAATTCAAGCTCAGCATTGCATTATCCCTCATTATCCTAAGTAACATTGATCGATTCTCTTCATTGACTTTCTCTTTCGTTAATAACTTGAGCACATAACCGTTTTTGTTATGTTTGTCGTATTAGATGCTAGATAAAAGCTTCTTTTATCGATCTGTGTGCTGAAAATAGCTGGGAATGTTTTTACATGGCCGTGGGGATGCAAAGAGAAAGTCGACGAAGAGAATCTGTTAATGTTACTTAGGACCTAATGCAATGTTCAGCTTGAATTGTCATTATTTATGTCACATTAGTTTTGTTTTGCTTTTTATTAGCTGTGTTCAATATCAATCATAAAATACAATGTCATAATATGGCTTTTTATGTTGTTTTTGTGCTAACGTAAGAACTCCACGACACACATAACACGCGACGCGAGACAAGACACAACACTTATCGTTCTTACAAAATTGAATTTTGTAAGAACGATAAGTGTTGTGTCTTGTCTTGCGTCGCGTGTTATGTGTGACATAATATGGTTTATTATTTTATTGGTTCTCATTTTTACATTCTGGGTGCATTTCTCTCGAAATAATCCGAAAGGTTGATTAACTGGAAT